AGGGGGTCAGGTATGCTTACATGCGTCCAAAAACATAATCAGATCCCGTTTGAAGTCCAACGCGGCGATATTTGAACACGTCCGTCTGGTCATCTCCCGCAAGTTTCCACGGTAGCCGGCCGCCATTAGCCTTCGGGATTTCCTATCACTTAGATCACCATTTAGCCCCAGTCATTTCCCCCCCCCCCAATCCCCCTCCCTCCCCGGGGTTACGTCCCTGCGAAAAACCTTATCATTTTTGTTTCAAAAAGAGGGCAGTATTTAAAGAGCAAGGGGTGACACTGTTCGCTCATAAATCAATTGTTCAATAAGTGTTTGCACGGTGGAAATTTTCTTTTTTTCCGATCACAGTTTGTTTCATGGCTTTTTATGTGTGTGGTTGTTTTTTTTAGTTAACTTCGACTTTTGTTTTTTAAACTCTTTACAATTATGCGTGGCTGTCAATTCAATAAATTTCTTTACGTGCGTGACCTTTCTTAAATAAGTTCAAGCATTGAGAGAGAAAATGCGGGTAACAGTTGTTGTTTTTTTTAAAGAGCTTTCAATGAGTAACGAAGTTAACGCAGTTGAGCTTGGGGGACTCGTGAGCAGCATCTTTTAAATAAATTGTATTATTAGTAGACAAAGAATGTAATGCAGTTTTTGATGCGGGAATACAAGCATACTTTAATATTATATTATTTTCTTATTAAGTTACAAATTAAAAATTACCATTCGACCTTCTTTTACTAACGTTTTGGAGTGACATATCTGTGAGTTAGGCTACGAGCATTACATGCACGGTCTTTCATCTGTGATTGGTTATTGATTCAGTGCTTTGATAAAATATATTTTAAATTTTAATTAATCATATTTTTTTTTCGACAGTAACATCAAATTTAAATTAAATTATTTATTTTTTTTTTATCAGCTCTTATCACTTACATAGCATTAGATCTATCGTTTGAAATTGTACCTTTTGATTTCATAAATATTCAATTTTTAGCGGCGAACAGCCTTTATTCAAACTGTTGTTTAGTAAATAAAAAGAGAGAGAATCAATTTCTTCTTTATCTCATTTTATAATTATTTTTTTTTCTTTACAAAATAAAGGAGTTTTAAAAATATCCTCGATGCAGGCTTTTACTGCGATGCCATAATGTGTGTTATTGAGAGCTTCTTTTGTGAGAAGAGTCGGGTCCAAATAGCTCAATGTTGGACTGGATTTGCTTTACCAGCGACAACTTCTGCACTACGTACCAGATTTAAGAAATACGTTTGAATATACTTGGGTTAAGTGTGCTTTTTGCGCTCATTCAAGTTTTTATTTTGTTTTTGGAGTTGTTGTTTTTCTTTTCAACCAACATGGCATGCATTGCAAAAGTAAGTACCTTTTTTTTTAAATATTATAAAATATATTGTTTAACGTGTCTCAGCACAATCCTGTTATTGATTTTTAAAAATTAAAAACTGTATGCTAAAGCGGAGCCAGTAAATTTTTTTTTAAATTGGGGTTACTTCCTTTCTTTAAGAAAGTAACCTATGCAAGGTGGAGGCATCAGGGAGAGGTAACACATGCGTCGCCTTTATTTAGTCTTTAAAATAGTATTTTGAATGCATGTATGTATAGGATGAAAATATTTGTAAGGGATGTAACAAAAAAGGCTACTAACTTTTAACAAAATACCATCTCCACCCCCACCTCCCCCTTTAAAAAAACACACAAAAAAACTCCTTTCAGAATATTTTTGTAACCTATTTGAAAGATAGTTCCGTGTATAAGGCAATCTGTTATTTTCTACATGTTGATTCTGTGTACGGCGTAAGTGTGTAAGATTTATAAAAATGAGAGAGAAGTAAAGCCATTTTAAATTTGGGTTTTAGGCCTTCGTAACATCCAGGACACCCCCCTTCCCCCCCCCCCCCCCTGGCAGTTTTGGTGGTTTTTTTGTCTGCCCACTGGTTTGTTGTTTGTTTATTAGTATCAGTGGCGTTTCCGCCAACTGGGGTGGGCCACTTCCCCACCCCAGCCCCCCCCCCCCAATCTCCCATTCTACGAAAAAGTAATTTGTCAGTTGGCTGAAAATGTCAGCTCTCATTATAAAGAAATAAAGTGCCACCCTGTTCGAACCAGCCCCTCTGCAACCCTCATCCTACGCCCCTGCTTATTATTAACGGAACAACACGTTCTGTCCCCCTCCTACCTTAATCATCAAAAAAAAAAAAGATTTCTTTATTTCCACCCCATCCACCCCACCCCCAACCCCACACACACACTCACAAATACAAGAATAAATATTTGAAAAAAGTAACAAAAATTAATGAACGTAAGATTGTTCAATTCGACAGGAATCTTGTTTAACATATGTTTACCCCCTCTTCAATTTTGATGTCCTGTATGTGATTTCAGTGCGTGCTGCCGTTGTGCCTGTTTGTCCTGATGCTCAGCCTCATGACGCTACAGAAGACATCCCTGGTTGTGGCGCTACGTCTGGTGTTACACCCAGACATCTCCATGGAGGCGGGGTGTGTGTTACACTTTTAATTATTCAGCGTGACCAATTGGGTCATTCAATGCGGAAATCGTTGATCATGGAGTTACATTAACGGGCTTATGGTGTTTGTTTTTTTTAGATTTGGGGGTGGGGGTGGGGGAAATAGAAGAGCGATTGAGTCGTTCCGATTTCACACCAGTGGACGAGGCAGTCATTTTTTGTCTATGTAAACTTGGATTGGTTGGCAATAATGTCGATTCAAAGAAAAGAACTTTTTTTTTTCAGATTTGAAGTAATGGTGTTCTATTTCTTTTTTAATAAATATTATTGGGTCTGTTTAAATTAGCCCTACTCAGCTTACATGAATAATTGAAGCTCGAAAAGTCAAACAGGCGTAAGTGGCAAGATATGGGAGATATCGAAGGGCAAGCTGCTCGGTTTTACACAATTTGAAATGGACATACCCCGTAGAGGATAGATGGGAATATTATAATTTCATAAAATACTTTTTTGTATAATTCATAGACAAATTAAGTGGGTGCTTCCCCCACGCCCCCCCCCCCAACCTCATTGGAGGACACACCTCTCTCAGCTACTTTTCGCTAGTTCCATTGATCCTTTTGGTGTAAAGGTTGTATTGAGGTGGTGGTGATTTAGGGGGGGGGGTCTAAATTTCATCAAACGTTAAACCCAAAGTTTATTTT